TTTTTTTTATTGCCAGAAAAGAACAAAACTTTTATGCAAGAAGAATCATGCTTCTGCCAGAAAAATGGGAAAAGGAATTGGAACCAGAATGAGCAAGATATGATTCAAAAATATTTATAATGCAGAGACCTTTTTATGATAATTTTATTGTTGTTCAATGTCTTAACAACTTAGCCGCGATGCTCAGTAGTTAAGGCACTGAACTGTTATTGTGAAGAGCAGGGGTTCCATTTCTAGTGACGGAAACTTCAAGAAAATTAACAATTTTTGAAGCGCAACACCTCTAGGGTCAAGAAATGAATTGTCTTCAGCAATATTCCGGTCGCTGCAAAATTCTTTATATAGTAAAACTTTTACTGTAAGTGAAGAGGTCAAAAATCACCTGGATCAATTTTTCGCTAGAAAAGAACAAAAATTTCATGCATGAAGAATCATGCTCCTGTCAGAAAAATGGCAAAAGGAATTGAAACCAGAATGAGCAATATATGATTCAAAAAATATTTATTCACTATATGAAAATCTCTTTTTATTTTCATTCCGAACAACCCAATATATTGAGTTATAGGTTATCTATGTTGCCAGAAGGGTTTTGAATTCGCTATAGTGCATGCTTCAATGATAAAAGTAAAGAAATGGATCCTATAAATATGTATGTAAGAATAAAGAAGAACCTTCTGTTGCATTTCTTTTAAAATTGTTTAAACTTGTATTAAATTATTTATTAGGTGTGCTGTCAGAATAGATGTGAATCCTCTATCATATGCAATGAGAGGTGATTAGATGAAAGAAATCTATTAGTCGTCTATCTTGAATAGATTGTGCTGGGTAGTTTCAAATTGACACTTGAGTTTGATTCTCCCGTGTAATTTTAATGACTAATTACGAACATACTACTTGAAACAACTTGCTAATGATGAGAATTTTTGGAGAAAACTACTCAAATCTATTGACAATAGCATTTTATTACAAAAGTCATATTTTTTCTATAACTTATCTTCCCTAATTATAATTTTATAGCTTTTACTTTTTTAGGCATTTGAAAAACTTGACCAAATAGCATTTTACTTAAATTAATTAATTAGTAAATAATTGCTAAATCAGTGAAATTTTTAATTTATTTGGAGGTCTCAAAAAACAGCGCAATATTTTTTAAAAATGTTTTTGCGATCATTTTATTGCTCAGTGTCTTAGCCCATGAGCTGTGATGTTCAGTTGTTAAAGCATTGAACTGTTATTGTGAAGAACTGGGGTTCGCTCCCCAGAGAGAGAGAGCTGGAAGCTGACCTAGCTTGAGAAGGATTGGCATCAGCTTCTCCGGGAAACAAAAGCGGCTTTCTGCGAAGTACTGATCACATTGTCACAATCATGCAGTTAGATGCTAAATTTTGGAGCGTTTACCTCCCTTACCCTCTGACCCACAACTTGCAGCTGATTGAATGTTTTACTTATTGCTGATAGCTTTTATCAGATGGTGCATTATATCATTAAAAATTTAGGTCACAGAAAGATTGAGCAGTAACTTAACTCGATTTAACGAACTTCGATAACACGTACACAGTTAAAATTTTCATTTTAAAATTATGGTAAAATAACTGGCAGCTGTCTGTCCATCCGAATATAAATTATGGCAAAGACCATTTTTTTCCCTTATGGTTTCGAAAACAGTTACAAAAAGTACAGTTATTAAACCATGAATACAAAACTATACAGTTTCTTAACCATTTACAGCCAGCGTTTTTCATAAAAGTAAAAAATAATTAATTATTTAACTAGACATAGGAGCTCGGTATTCCGAAAGGTAATAGGCATTGGAAAGTGCCGGACACTGGAAATTCTTCATGTGTTGAAGGTAATGGAGGAAATATTATGGTGTCAACACTAGGCCTCGAACTCCAGTTTCGCCGGTCATGAGATTGACAGATAAGCCCGCTCGGCTATGATATGTACTCAGTTGCTAAGAATTAAGTAGCTTCATTAGGTGGTTCTAGTTGGTGAGATAAGATTCTGGTTGTTTTACCGTATTAGGTGAAAGCAGTTAATAAACAGTTTGAATACCATTTTATTTATGGTTATTTGGCTGTTTTGTTTAAATATGGTAAAATAACCATTCACTAAATTGTTATTTAACCATTTTTTCCTAGAAATTTCTAACAGTGTATTTTTTGATGTTATGAAAAGATCTGAATTCCCTACGCATTTGCTATATTGATAAATTGAAATAAAAAAGTCTTTTTGCCATATTATTTCTCAGTGACCTTTCATTTCACGAAATATTTTTGATCAATAAAACCGTTTGTTTCCTTAATCTCTGACGAATTTGAAATTATATTTTTGAACTTCAATTCTTTAAAACTTATTCTTGAATAATGTTATGAACTATGTTAGGAAACTTCCTTATTGGAAAGTAGTCTTAATCTCTCATTTCTCGAGAAGTAGATGTGGAAAATATATGTGTACAGTTAAGAATAGCAAATAATGTTGCACTATGAGGTGATTAGCAGGAACCAAAAATATTAAAAGAGATCGTAAATATATCAGAAGAGGAAAATTACTAAACAGTATAATTTCAGTGAAACGTAAAATTAAATGTTAAAGCAAAGATACTGGCAAAATTTGAAGAGACATTTTTTAAATTCATGTTTTAGAAGGTTTGAAAATGTCAGCACAGTATTTTTTTTTGGTACAAAATTATTAAATATATATAATATGCGAATAAAATATTCAATGTCTGGAATCATGAAATATTTAGTGTCTCTTTCGAGTTCGTAATATTGGGGTTTGACAGCACATCAAATACCATGTGCAGCACCTCAAGAAATGGACCTCACTGAATAACTTTTGAACTAATGATCGGATCTTCACGTCTTAGAACTCACTTTCAATAGTTCGAGAGGGTGACCTCAAATATGCTAATTAAGAAGTTCTGACGATATTTTAAGTTACGAAATCAGAAACAAAAACGTTCTTTCCCTGAATAAAAATATTTCTTTTTTTGATGGACTCCAATTTCTGATCCCCAAAACATACGGGGTATCCGCAATCTGGTAAATATGGTCCATATAGCTTGTTCAGGAGAGCTATCCAAAATTTGGACCATTTAATGCTAATTTTACGTTTTGTGTATTTCGCCGTATCTCGAGAACTTTTAAAGCGAATTGAAAATGTTTACACGCAATTAATTGTAAAATTCATTTGTCCAAATATAATTCTTTACAAAAAATAAATTTTATTAAATATTTATTATTATTTCTAATGTTATTTAATAATAGTCGAAAAAGTTTTGAATTGTAAGGTATAAAATATTTTTCATTTGAGATTGAGTCCTAGAGCGTAAAGATCCGATCATTAGATCAAAAGTTATTTATGGTGGTCCATTTTTTGACACACTTTACAAATAAATCAAAACATCAAGCTGATGAATACAATTATTAATTTGACTATGAAGTTTCAATAGATGAAAAAGGAGTTTCAAAATTTAATATATAAAATATTAAGTATTATTTTTTTACTTTCATTATTTAGAAGAAAAATACTTCTTATTTTAAACTAAAATTTAAAATTATTAAACTGAAAAGATTTATTTTGTTAAACATCTTTTTACATTAGATAATTGTGTTAGAATGTATAAGTTTGTGTGAATATTTTTAAATGTTTCTATATAGAAAAGGGAAGAAAGTAAATAAGCGAAATTAAAAGAATACGAATCCCATCATGCCTTTAAATCTGTGCTCCTATATTTTGATTGGTTGTTTTTATTTTGTGCACAAATCTCGGAAGGTATAGTGAAAGTAGACTTGGCTCTTATCCAGACTACAACACATTAATTTCCTACTCAAAGCTTAAAGTGTTTGATAAGACAGTCTTATCACTTAGACTACTCTTGCATTTCGGATTCCATTCCTAATCTGTATTATCTCACAGTTTTTTTTTCTAGATGATTTAAAATTACACGTCTACGGTGTAAACATTGTTTAGTTATTTAGTTGATTATGAGCTGATATTACCGTATACTTTCATGCTGAGAGCTAAAAGTGAATTTTACGAAAATGTAAAAGCCAGGATAATAGAGCACTGGTCTCTCAATGACAGAGTTAAATTTATTAAGTTAATTTTTTTTAATCATAAAAATTTGAGAGCCGTGGTGAATCAGGGAATAGAGCCTTTGCCTCTTAATTTGGTTACACAGGTTCGAATCAAAGCCATAGCTGGTTGATTCGAATTCTAATCCTGGCTCGTACTGGCCGCATTACAGGTTTAAAATATTCTCAATAGTAGACGTATCATGAGTTAGAATCCCCTTGACGTCGGGCTAACCACGAGAGGTTTTCATGGTTCTACTGTAACACTGCAGGTTAGTTCCATCAATGATTCTTGCACGAAGGCTAGTTTGTCCCAGTGCCTTATTCAGGAGCTTCTTGTCTTCTGTATTGGGGTCAAAGTTACATTGCTATGGAAGTGAATATTGATAGTCATAAATTTGTAATTGGGATGCTGTTAAATGCCGGTTATAAAAAAAAATATATTAAAAAATGTAGCTACTACGTTTACTTCTCTCGTCTCACTCCAATCTCGGTGCTGATGAAAAATTTCTCGATTGGTAGTAGGATCACGAGTTAAAGTCCTCTTGCAGTCTGGCTAAACCTGGGAGGGTTTCGATATTTTCTTCCCCATATAAAGCAAGTACGCTTCACTCAGGTAATTTTGTTTCTCCAGTTCTTCTTACTTGGGCCGGTTTCAAAGTTATTAGGCCTTGCAGTTAAATATTTACATAGCCTCAAATCAGAGATGAATGAATGGGATGTTCAACATCAATTATAAAAATTAATAAATAAGTTGTACACTGAGTCATTGAGAAATATAGTTTTTAATTTATTTATTCAATCCACTTTATCCAACTATTAGTGTTACCTACTTTACTAAATTAAAAGTCTATTAACTTCATAATGCATAAGAAAACACATAAAATTACTTATAAATTGTTTAAAAAGAATATTTCCTACCTATTATTTCCCATTAATTGAAGTATTCTCCATGCCATGCAAACTGTTAGGACGGTTATTCCCTGTTCTTTAGCTAAAAGAGCTATCCCAGAACATAGCATGCTTAATAACAGCCATAGCATTCTTTTAATTATCACTTCATTGGCTTTTGTGCTCCTGAAAATAAAAATAAAAGTAAAATAATTAAAAAAAAGAGATACAGAATTTATATCGCGTTGTTAAATGTTTTGAAATTACCCTCCCTAAATCGAAGATTATAATACATGGGCAAACAAAGTAAAAAAATTTGAATAACATAACTGAAGTTTCTAAAGTTTTTCTTCTCCAAAAAAAAATGGTTTGCATATAAAGTGGCCTGCAAAAGTCTCCAGCTTGTACTTTTTCATATTTTATTTTAGCTTTTGACTGCTTATTCTTATAGATTTAAAAACAGTCATAAGACGTTAATAAGATGCATACGAAAACTGTACTGTATTGAAAGCATAGCAGTTCTGAAATACTAATAATGTTTATTTTATTTTGTTATTGAAATTAGTTTTAAATAACAATATACTGGCTAACATCTTTTGTGCAGCACTGTTGTTGAAAATTTTATTTTCTTATCCCCCAATTGAACAGCATTTTTCTTTCTCTCTGATCATTACTATTATTTTATATATTTTGAAAATGTCTTTAATTGAAATTCGTATTAATTGTATTTTTATTGTAGAAAGAAAAATATTTACAATTTAGAATCTAGACTATATCTTATAATTAGTTATTAGTACACAATTTTAGCGCTTTGCATGGAGCTAAGAGCTCAAACATTTAAAATATTATTTGGGCTAAGTATGATACAGTTGTCTGTACGGTTTTTTTTTAGGCTGTGCACTTAATACGATAATCCAATTACTTATTGGGATTTTAGCATAGGACATATTTGTACAGAATGCAAAATAAGAAGTGAACAAGCTTAATAACTTTTTATTTAATATGATCGGATTTTTACGTAAAATTGTATTAAAATTACCTCATGGGAATGAGATTTTTTTCTTGAAAAAAACTCATAATTTTCGTTAATAAGGTCAAAATATACAGTATTTAAACTATTTATTTGGTAATTTTTCCATACATATGGTAACGGTGTACGGAAAATTCTGGTTTTAAAAATTATAGTTTTAATCACCACAAGTTTAGAAAAGTAAAAAAAAGAGCCTAAAGGGAAATTTTACCGAATAAATGATTTTTATCTCATATCTCATTTACCAAATTTCATCACATATATTAAAACCACATTATTGCTAATTTTATCGAAACCATTATCAGTTACTGAACTTTTTGGTGTTCCTATAAGTCCAGAATAACGGTTAATTTTACCATAATATAGTAGTTTCGACCATATTATTTTCTCAGAGTAGCACTTAATTGTAATGGTTTGAGGACCTTACCATAATTAAGCTAACTAATTAGTACCACTAGCTTATTAGCAATACTAAAATGCGGCCTGCAAATCCTCAAGAATTTAATTAAAGCTCTTGGAAATCCAAGTAATAGATTTTTATTTACAGTGATTAATTTTTTTCAGTTCTAATGCAGGTATTGATAAAGCCATTGATTCGTAAAACTTAGTTGCCATGACATTTAAGCTCAGCTTAGAAATTGAAGTCAGAATTGTGAAATATCAAAAAACTATCTTAGTGGCACTTTAAAGAATTACTCAAGTACACATTCTTTATTTTAAATTGAATAGTATATTATTGTAAAAACTATCAATTTTCGCATTGACTCATACGAAATATATAAATATTTGTAACATTTTATAGTCAACATTTTAAGAGATAAATAAATTACGAGCAGCCTTTGTTTATCCCTTAATTTCTCCAAAGTAAAAAAGCAAAAATAGTTAATATTGCTTCTTTCTCTTTAATTTCATATTTAAGTCATTTTTTCCAAAGCATATAAATTGATTAGCGTTTTAGATTGTTGATATATTAAGAGGAAGTTGTAATATTATTTGCACCGTTATTTTTTAAATTAGATTAAGTTCATTTGGAAAGTGGTTTAAGTCTGAAGCTTTCCAAAGTTAGTGTTCAAAGGTATTTAAAAATATTACCAATGATTAATATATTTGGACATTATTTTTAACATTATAATTTTATTAATCATCAAATTACAGCAATGATTATTAAAATCGTATGAAAAGGAAACAAATAAACGAACTTGTATCTACAAATGAACTTAATTTACTTAAATAACGGCTCATTTAGTGATATTGAATTACAATAATAAAGCTATAAACCTGGAATTAAAACGCCACAACCCAATTATTTCCGCAAAAGATATCCTAAACCTCAATTTAATTTGTGACAAAACAATCTTTTAACAAACTAATTTGCAAACTTCATATTCTTATTCAATGTTTGGCATTAGATGTTCAAAGACACCCTTTTTCGTTTGTAATTTATTGCCTGTCTCCCAAACCTCTGAAATCTTAAACCTTTATTGATACGTGTGACAAATCTAACACCTCTGAAGTTATAAAATAATTATTCAAGTATTTCATGAGAAATTTGAAAAGAAATGCCAAAAAACTCGAAGTGTCTTTTCCATTATTATAGGGTGATGTAATTATAATACATTACGATGGTGAATTACTAAATATGAATTTGAACCGTATTGCCTAAATATTTTTATAAATGATATCCTAGATCGGGAGTTAATTTACTGACAACGCAATATCTTACCACACAAATTTATTAACTTCTTTTCTCTATCCAATGTTCATAATCAAGGACTAAGCAAACGCAATTCGTACTAAATAAATTCTATTAACTAATATCATCGGGCAACTTTAGAGCATTATTCTAAGCAGAGTAAGATAGCGAATAATTAGATGCCACAATGTTAACACAACCGGTAACAAACACTATTCTATGCAATAAGGGTATTGTGAGTAAGGGTTGAAGCAAGGTGGCATGTTCGTGGAAGACGGGTATTACATTATGTAGCAAGGGTGACAACGACTATTACATGCACCAGGTCGTGGCTCGGTCGCTCTATTTGACACACCTCTAAAGCGCGTTATTTAAAGGACGCCATCCTACTACACTAGGACTGCATTTCCCTAATTAAACAAACTCTCTTACTGTGATGGGGGATGAGAAAGAGGAATTTTGGAATGGTGTAAAGGTTCTCACTGGAATTTGCGTCCCCAAAATACGTACAAGGAAAAATAGAAAGAATTTTAATGAAGTCACTAGTGAGGATTTTGTCGCGCAGTCATTTCCCCCAATCTGAAACTTTAATAGCACTTAAACATTTAGAAATATCTACTGTGAGGTAGTTTTCGTCGAAAGTGGATGTCTTTCTAATATGAAGTTGATTTAGTTATTAAAATGTTTAAAATTGGCAAATCTTAGAAAAATTATTATTTTTGATTAAAAATCACTGTAAAAAATAATATCGTCATTTATTTGCAATATATATACTATAATTTATGTATATATATATATATATATATATATATATATATATATATATATATATATATATATATATATATATATATATATATATATATATATATATATATATATATATATATATATATATATATATATATATATATATATATATATATATATATATATATATATATATATATATATATATATATATATATATATATATATATATATATATATATATATATANATTTTTGTGCTATTGTATTAAAAAAAAATTATTATCGTTCCGTATGTGTTTCAAAATGTCTTTTAAATTACTGAGAAAAAATATGTAAGACTAAGTGCAATGTTGTTGAATTCAAGGTGAGCTTTTCTTTTCCAATATAACTATGAGACAAAAAGCATCGGGAGAATTAGAATTAATAGAGATGCAAGAAGATCAAGCTCTACAATTAAAATATAAGTCGACGTCGATTGCTGAATTTTGGAAATTTTTAACAGAATCGAAGTGTCCTGAATTAAAAAAGGCTGCTTGTCGAATTATTTCAATATTCGGGACGACGTACTTATGTGAATCATTTTATTCTTCTTTAAAATTCGTGAAGATCACCGATCAGTATAAACTGACCATCATCTCAAAGAATTACTGAGAAGTGCTGTCACCAATTATTCACTAAATTTTAAAGAATTGTCAAGAGAAGTGAAATAAATGTGTTAATTATTTAAATTCAGTACACATATTTTGTACTTTTACTTATATGTTTTCAATAAATATAATTTATGTAAAAAAAAATTAATACCTTTTTTGCATACCTTTTAAATACGTATTTAATTGCGGCTCGTGAAAAATTTCAAGTTTCGAAAAATGGCTCTGTTATCAAGGAGTTTGTCCACCCCTGTTATATAGTAAATAAAAATGAAAGAGATAGATGTTTCCCTTTTATTGTAATCCCTTTGACGCAGAAATTTTATTAAACATATTTTTCATACTTTTTTCCTTACTTTGTATTATATTAGGTCAAAATAAGTGAAAACTGTTATATTTATTATTTTAATAATTTATAGTTATGAAATACAGGATGAAACACCTGTATCTTGTTCTGCGTCTTCTAACGCGATTCACTTCCAAACAATAATGCTTCAAATTGGCACTCATTTGCAGCTACTAAGATCTAAGAGACATAGTTATTCATTATTTACAAAATTACTTATTAATAAATTTTTGAATATGAATGAAAAAAAAATTCAAACTACTTTTTTGTACTTTATATAATAGCACAAATGTAATTTTGACAATCTAACATAATTTTTTAGTAACTATAAGTCTATTTTAGTAATCAAAAATCAACAAAATATATTTTTGCTTGTAATCAGAGAGTCTGAAAAAAAAAATATATATAAGGAACACCGGTGCTCCATCTGCGTCAAAGGCTTAATAAACTCGGGATGTTTTCTTATAGCCATTCATCATATATATTTTACATCATATATATAATGTAAAAAAATACGCATAAGAGAAGTCGCAAAATAGTTGTTAAGAGAAGAAAAAAAGGCAAAAATCGTTTCTAAATTTTGACCAATTGCTAATGAAGTAGCAGAAGCTGGTTAAAAGTAATTTAAAATTTTAATGCTTCATTTGCTATCGTAATAGTCAAATAATAAGTCTGTTTATTTCTGGATGATATTTAAAGAAGAATACAAGTCAGTCTCAGTAGACAAATAAACGTCTTTTTTATTTTCTTTTTTACTCGTTTGTCCAAACTTCGATCTTATTAACGAATGTATCATAGGTCAAAACCTATCATTTTTTAACCATTTACGCAATAATTATTGACAGGTTATGCGTGCAGTTCTTTATAGAACTTTTTATAAGGACTCTAAACTTACAAAGGGTACTCCAAAATTTGACCTACAGATTCAGTTGAGAGATAAAATATATAAAAAGGACGAAAACTTACAGTAGAAAATTGTGAAGAATTAATGCAGGTTTAAAAGTCTCACCAGAAAACAATTAAAAAAACACTACAAACTTGCTAACTTCTAAAAGGTTTACTTGATTAATCATTATGAGAGTTATTCGAATTGGTGCTCGCTGACATAAATGTTTTATAATAATAAGTTACATAATCTACAACGTTGTAAAAATAATTCCTGGACACATTTATATATTTAGAGGTGCTTTTGATGTCTTCAAACGCGGTAGAAATAACATTTCTCTAGATTCACAGCCTACGTGTGTTCTTCGTTATTTTCATCATTTAATTGCAGTTTACGGTTCCAAGATCTATGATATGTCTTCGACCAACAAAATCAAATTGATGAAATCCTCTTGAAGCCTTGTATTACCCCTCTGAATTCGTTTGATACATTTTGGAGCATCGTGTTTATTAAATTGAAAACGTTGAGACACTTTGTTTTAAAAATCCATGCAAAAAATAAAAGATTCGCAAAGAAAAATAAATTTAAAAAAATACGCACTATAAATGAGAAGGAATCAAATCTATTTTTCTTGTATACTCCAGGCGAATTATGAAACTAGTTACTTGCCCCTTTACTCATTTAATAGTTTAATAGCTCTTTCAATGATGCTATATATTGTATATACACAGCTCAAAAAATTAGGGGAGCCATGCGTCCCCCTAATTCTTTTGAGTTATATATATATATATATATATATATATATATATATATATATTTATATNGAAGTTATAAAATGATTAAGAATTTCTTGAGAAATAGAAAAAATGTATTTGCATAGAAGTGTTTTCATTATTTTATCTATCCCCTGTGTATATATATATATATATATATATATATATTAAAATTTTGAAACCAATAATTTAAGTTCAATAGATAAAGAAAATCGTAAAACTATGATAAAACTAAAACAAAAATAATACTTAAAATCTTTATATGCTTTATTAAAGCCACTGTAAATAATAAAACAATTACTTTTAAATCAAAGAAAGTTCTAAGCTTTCGTGATAAATATAATAAAGAACACTTCAATAATTATTTTTCACGTGATTTTTTTTGACGTCGGTAAAAAAAAATTTCTATAATAATGTAAACACAAAGAAAGAAAAAATAGAATAAAATGAAATAAATTCATTAGAGTAAAAATAATTCTCACTTTTGCATTATTGCTTCGAAAAATAAAAGGAATAAATATTATTTAGTTTATAAAATGTTTAAATAATCTCTACTCACTTTTTGTCTTTCAAAAATTTGAAATTTTAACTATATTAATAGTTTTTTTCAATTAAATTTGTATGTAAAAGTAATAGTTTCATAATTAACAATAAATACATAAATGCTTAGATGCAAGAAAAAGGAACGTGCATATTTAAGAAAATTATTTTGTTAGTTATAAATTTATATTGTTAGTATTAAAAAAAAATCTTGATTTGAAGGAAATTTTTACTTAATTCACTGTATATATTTTTTATTAAATTTGCATGAATTGAAGTAATAGTTATAACAATTATAGTTATGTTTGTTTTGTTGCAAGAGACAAGAATACATGCACCTTAATGAAAACAAAAATTTTTGTCATTATTTCATATAGTCAGAAAAAGAATAAAAGCAATAGAAAAACCTAATTTATATTATTTTTTTTTCTATTAAGAATGCATTACTCATAAATTTATATAATATTAAGTCTGAAGTCTTTAAATATTAGTGAAAGTGAAAAAACTATTAATATTTAATTGAACATTTAGATAAAAGAAATATATTAAACTAAGATATATTAAAATATAATGCGTAAAGAAATATGTTTAATTGTGCTTAAAATGTAAGAAATGTGTTCAAATAAAGGTGTAGGTGTGAGTAATATGTTCACGAAAAATTCTGGTAAAACTACTGCACTCTATGGTAATGACATTTCTGGTAAAAAATATAAACCTGATATAATGAACCAAAATATACGGTAATTAAACTATTAATTTGGAAATTTTTCCGTTCATATGTTAACGGTTTACCGAGAATTCTGATCTTAAGAATTATATTTTTCTTTGCTACCTGACATTTAGCAAAAATACAGTAAATTTGACTGAATAAATGGTTTTTATTCTATGCTAAGGTATCATGATAAAGTTACAATATTTTACCAATTTACCAAATTTTGACTCCTATTGTAAAGCTATGTTTTATTGTGTATTTTGCAAAATTCATTACCAAAGCACTTCGGTAAAAATTACGGAGCTTATTGGAGTTACCATAGAGCCCGAAACATTTTTAAGTTTTCCATAATCTAGTTGTTTTGACTATACTTCTTTCTCTTGTTCAAGCATACTTTTAAATGTAAAAAAAAAATGATATTTACGGCTTTGTAAATCTTGTAATCTAGTGATGTAAAACAGTTCTCAAAAAGATTTATTGCATTCAAATAAACAGTCGAAAATTGGAAAACTATGCTGAAAATGTGTCTACAATAACATCTTCCTTTATGAAGTATGTATTATTTTTTTTTTCTGCTTACTGAATGAACGAAACATAATATGGTTCACAAATTATTCCGCAGAAATCGATTACTAAATGCATAACTTTTCAAGAAAGTTTTAATTTGTTTCTTCTAAAATATATGATGTAAATGCTTTCGAAGACAACACCTTTAAACTTCTTTCTTCATTTTACAAAATAATTGCATTTCTAATAAAAATTTATTAAACTCGCTACGTAAGTTAACATATTTTCATCAAATAACTAAATTCTCTATACCCTCATACAATTTATTCTATGTAAAAATATTAGTTGATACCTTGAATCCCAAAATTTTCATCGAAATTTCATTTTTGTAATTAATCAAGGGGTGGTGTTAAAATATGAAAAAAGCGTATGAAAGGTAGATGATGTTAACAATTCTTATTCTTTGCCCAAACAACTTTTACTTTAACAAATATTTTTATTATCCAAAAATATTATTTTTAAGTTGCACTATTAATCAGAGTGAGGAGAAAATTAACACTAATGAATATAATTTATGTAATTATATTATAATTTATATAATTATATAATAACTTATATAATTATATTATAATTTATATAATATTATAATTATAATTTATATAGTATTTTAATAATATTGTTACAAATTTGTAAATATTTGTGTAATTTTGTAATAATTTTTTTCCTATAATAATAATAATAATTTGTAATAATTCTTTTCCTAAATAACCCTAAATAAATACTTTAATTAGTAAATTTGAGTAATTCTATCGTAATTTAGGTAGAAAATAACTTGTTATATACTACCCTACAAAAATGGAGAAGACATTTTTCATTTCAGTTTTTGACATTTTTTTCCTGAAATACTTAAATGATGTGTTTTGATGTAATCAGCTGTTATTTGAGATATAATTGAGAGCTAGAAATAGCTGTATTTTCGAGAAGATTCTGCTAATGAATGTATGAATTCTTAGGACTATTTCATTCATCTGCAAACATTTATACTGCAATCATTATACATCTGCAATCATTTATCATTTGACTGTCGCTATACGATACTCACTTTATAAATGTCAGTAAAGATGTGAGGAAGAAAAATGCAGACAAAACCTCCGCTCTTCCAACAGCGCTAGAAACCTGAAAAGACAAACAAAAATGTTTAATTGAATGCTTATAAAATATATAATTTCTCAGAACAATTCTATCATTTCGATATACTTATATTTGTATAAAAGACAATAATTATTGTGAAGAAAATATATATATAAATTAACTTTTGGGAATATTGTAGGGTTTTGTTTTAAAATCAGTTTAGTCTATATTTTCATGCATTATTTATTTATTGAACGTTTACTCCATTTTAAACGGTTTTAACATATCACAAAGCGGTTTTAACAAACAATTTTATCATAACTACAAATCTGCTTTCTTCATATAAACATGAGTCTCGCGCCCTTTAAGTGTCCAAATAATATATTGTTATTATACGTTCCTAAATTGTACAACGTGGTTTCCGTTGATCGCAGTATTACCGATTCTGGGTCTTGTGTCATTAAGCATCACACCTTCTTCATAAGACCAGTGTATCATTTCAGCAATCATTTAAGAGACGTTTTAAAATGTGATACAACAAAACTCACAAGAAAACTCTGTACATGAAAAATAAATGTATCTTGATACTAAAATTGTTTTTCCTTTCCTTTGAATTTTTTGTCACCTCGAACTGCAAACCTTCCGATGCGGTTTTAGTATTCTTTTATTTGTATTACGATCCACAGGTGTCTATTAGATAATGCTTCGCAGTTTTGTAATTAACTTCATCAGTATCATTTTTTAAATAGGAGCGCTGATTCCTCAATTTTTCTCGTGGTGGCTCTGTAATGGTTCTTTGCGAAAAACTACACTACCATATCTAGACATCACTTTTATAGCCTTACTTGAAGACTTTGAAAGAAATGCGGTGGTTACCCTCGATATAGATACTTACAATTACAAACAATGAGGAGAGAGGCAAAACATAGCATAAGTTTTATTGAGAATTATATAGTAAGTCATGTTGGAACTGTCATAGTGCGAAAAAGTGTCAAAAGTGTCTTAATTCAATGTTATTTTCACATATTCTAGTGAATTCTGGTGAATATTACTATGAAAAAGGCTCTTAATTAGCTATTTTATTGTAATTTAAAGATTAGGCGCACACCGTAAAGATTACACCTTGGTGAGCTCTCAAATTAGCGGTCAAATTATTACTTTTCAATAAAACGTCGTTTTTTAAGCATATTTTATTGAAACTTTTGATACTAAGCATTATAAAATATAAAATCAAGATATTTGAGATAAATAAAAGTACCGTTTCGATTGCGAATGTCAGTCTAGGTCATAATGAGGAGGTGCCACATTTGATGACATTCCCGGACAGGGGTTGCTACGAATTTCTCAACTTTTATTTATCATATTCTTTCATATCCTTCAATTCAGTAACCGCAGTTCTAAATCCTTCTGCGTATATGTAGCGTAGAAAAACTTCCGCTCAGTATATTGTTATATTAATCAAATTACAATAAAAAAGTGAAAAATGAAATTATTTATCATTCTAAACAGCCCCATGTTTTCATTATAACAAAATTTTAATGAGGATGTTTATGCATCTTTTTAAAGTTATATGTACAAACCATGTGTGTGTGTGTGTGTGTATACACTGGCGAGAAACTTTTGCCTTCCAATGTCTATATATAAGTTAGATCATTATTTTATGCCAAGCTTTCGCTTTTCAACAAGGCGAGCCAGGCTCGAATCTCAGCGGCGGCTGGTTGATGCGAATTCTGCTCCCTCCTCACACCGACTACAGTGCTGACGTAAATGATTCTCAGTGGCAAAGATGAATCATGGGTTAGAATCATTATGCCGTCTGGTTAGTAGTGGAAGGTTTTCGTGGTTTCCTCACCGTATATTGCAAATGCGGATTAGTTCCATTAAAAAGTCCTATTTTGTCCCAATGCTTGATTCAAGAGTTTGCTTGTCTTCTGGGTGTGTTTCAAGTTACAATTAAAAAGTTACATTGATAGCCATAATTGGATCGACTGTTCAACGCTGGTTGTGGATAAAATAATGTACTGGCAAAAATCGTTGTAGCATTCTCTCCCCCATACTTTAGAGACTGCGGTTGGTGGGTTTTTTTACCAAATTTCGTTTCGCATTATTCACTAGCATTATTCAGCGTGCGCACGTATGAAATATCTTTTATAATATGCCAGCTATAATTTAGTTTGGAAATCTCATAAATATTGATGAAAGCGATAAAGCTGTAAATTTAACAGGCTATCAACACTAAAACAATGTTTTAAAAGAGTTGTAACTTAATATCTTTTAATTTTCTTCTGTTAATTAATTTTCTTTATTTGGAAGTTTGCCATGTCTATTTTTTTCTTTTCCTCTCTACCTAATTGTATTTTCATTTACTTTTAGATTAATAACTTTTAAGTTATCTTTATATTCTATTTAATCATTTTTCTGCCATAATTAAATGTTACTCATTCGGAAAAAAAATCTCAGCTTCGCCCCGATAGGATGTCTTTAAAGGGTTATTTATCTTTAATAGCTATGCACAAAGCTTTTTATGGATATAAAAAAATCACCTTTTCCTAATTGCATTTAAAGCTGCTTACAGGATAAAGTAAATAACTAAGAGAAGACTATTTTTAGATTAAAGCATAGATAAAAAAGGAAAACGTTTTATTGTTGAGCAGCTGGACTTACATTTTTTTTAATAAAAATAAAATAGGTTAGTTCATTAATCAACCTTTTTTTTAAGAAAAATAAGGGACAAATAACTTTTGAGTTTTATAATATTTAGTATTAGCAAAAGTTTGTGTCCATTGTGGAAACATACGGAGTTCATAAAAAGTGCTATTTCCTCATCTATAAATTATTTTTTGAACCGTATGTCAACATTTACAAGTTTTTGAAATATTACTATATATTAGTATGTACCATATCAACTTTCGAAAAATTGGATTCTAAGTAGAACCATGGTACTCAAAATACAAAAATACAGGAATTTTCTGTAATTATATTATAATTATGTACAGTGCGCAAAAAAATAAACTGATAACTCTGAACAGCTTTTTATCTAATGATCGGATCTTTACGTTCTTGGACTAACTGGTTTGTAAAAGAGACCTCTATGCTTAGTAATTATTGTAGGCGATATTTTGAGTTACAAAATTAGACGTAACACTATACTTTCTCTAACATATCTTTTAGTATTAAACATATCTTTTTTTTTCGAGGAATTCAGATTTCTGACCCTTAATATTTAGGGGTAGCAGCAATACTGCAATTTTAAATGGAAAATTCAAAACTGCAAAATTTGAGTGATATCGGTCGGATAGTTCCTGAGAAATCGAGTTTTGAAGAAGTCGTATTTTTTAATTTAATTTCAGACAGTTTTGTTCTATTAGGTTCAGAAAAAAAGCAATATTTTTATCCACGAGCATCTAATAATTTCTTATAGAAATCTGTTATTCATGGTAGATGATAAGAACTTGACTAAAATTAAAGCATTTTAGTAATTTATTTTAGCTCAGAACAAAAACGTGAAAAACTCTGGTGCATGATTTTCATTTTCCTTACTTTAGCACGTTAACACTTATATTCTATTATTCATTCTCTTACTATATAACTATACTTATCTTTTATTCATTTATTTACTTTTAAGCATAAATTTACAAAACATCTATTCCTTCTATTAAAATATCCAAAGAAATATAAATTTAAATATATTTTTAAGAGCTTTAAGAGTTTGATTCTTTTTTAACATTTTTCTTAGTTGAAAATAACTTCTAAAAATTTTACTCATGTCTCTCATAAACCAATCTTTAAAGAAAATTTTTTGTGTATAAGGTAATTATTCCCATTGAAATTTCTTTTATTATTTATTAAAATGCTATTCAAAATTTATTACAAGCTGTTTAAGCGCATATTTCTTTTTTTATTTTAAAAGACTAAAAACTATTTTTGTTTATTCTCAAAGTTTATTTAGGAGGATATTCACTAGGGGATCCTTTAGACTCGTAGAATTACTTATATTAAATGTATATAGTTTTTTTTTCTATACGCAATTGTCTCACGTGTTTAAATATTATCTTTTTTGTTAAAGTACTATCAATTGAAATGGTTTTTCGATTGAAAAAGATGGTAAAATTCAAACATAAAATATTAAAATTAATATTTACTGTTCTCGTATTAACGAAATATATTTCACTTTTTACTCAATATTATCTCGAAAAATAATAAATATCCCACAGTTTAAGAAAGAATATTAGATTTCAAGTTTGAGGGGTTAATTTAGATTGAGGAAGTAGGTAACAAAAATTTTTTAAATGGTTGAACTTTAAGTATTACCACCATTCCATATCATTTAATGCTCATGTATCTGTTTTAATTACACTCATAGAATTATTTTTTAATGCACTGAGAAAAAAGTATTATATTATATTATGTTATGTTATGTTATGTTATGTTATGCTATGTTATGTTATGTTATGTTATGTTATGTTATGTTATGTTATGCTATGCTATGCTATGCTATGCTATGCTATGCTACGTTACGTTGCGTTGCGTTGCGTTGCGTTACGTTACGTTACGTTACGTTACATTACATTACATTACATTACATTACATTACATTACATTATATTATATTATATTATATTATATTATATTATATTATACTATATCCGTCGTTGAACAGTTGACCCAATTTTGGGTTTACGACTAATAATGTTCAACTCCGTAGCCTTGTAATTTTGAACCAATCCAGAAAACTCCTGGATTAGTACCCCCAGAGTTATTGATTTGTTATGGGAACATGGAGGAATTTGCAACTCGACAGATTTAACGTGCATCAGTCACCATTTACTACACGGGGATTCTTCGGTAAGTGGGGATCAAACCCACGACCTCTTGGACATGGGCCCAGGGCCCTACCAACCAGGCTATCCCGGCCTCTGAGAAAAAAGTATGGTCAAAACAATCAGAATATAGTAAATTTTACAACGTTTCTGGCTCTCTGGAAGCACCGAAGCGCACCGTAGTTAATGCCGAAGCGCTTTGGTACTAATTTTGGTAAAATCAACAATAAAATATGGCTGAATAACATGCTCTAAAATTTTGCAAAATGTGGTAAAACTTGGTAATTTTTTCATAATGCCTTAGAGCCTGTTATAAAAACCACTTCTGTTGAATTTATTTTTCAGTTTTGTATTTTTTACTAAATGTGCGGTAATAAGAACAATAATTTCGATTAAAAAAATTACTGGTTAATCGTTTCCATATGAATGGAAAAATTTCTAAATAAATGTATTAAATATCATAGATTTTGGTTTTATCAACAAGAACTATGTACTTTTTATTAGAAATATCATTACCATACAGTACGGTAATTTTAAAGAATTTTTTTTTTACGTGTAGATAAACTATCTACTTTTTATATTGAAATAAAGTTTCCAAAATGTGGGATTTTTTTCCCTTTATTCAAGATTCATTTCACTAGAATCACAGCATCAAATAAGGTGAAGACAGGCTTTGCAAAGTTAAATTAATGATCCGCTAGAAACTTTTATCATGACCTCATTCCTATAATCTCCATTTTTAACATGAAATCTTAATCCTTATCTATAACATATTAGAACTAAATGTTAGGTGTCACGTAAAAGTATTCAGTAGAAAAAAAATTTTCTATGTTAAAAAAATAAGAAATTCAGTTGTAGTTCTTTTAGATGAACATCTTACATTGATGTGACCTAACACTTTAAGCTGTATTATATTATTTTCTTCAACGTTTTAAATTTTTTATTCAATAAGGCGTAACATTAAGAGAAATTAGTTTTTAAAACATATACCAAGTTATATATACCTAAGTCGTGACATATTTTTGGAGGATTGCCTTACTTTGATTACACATCTGTTATATGTAATTGAAACTTAAAACTATGGCATACAATTCTATGTCTTGTATAAAAATCTCAAGCAAAAATAGTCAAATTTATGTTTCAAAAATGTTTTTTGCATCCTAAAACGTAGCACAGTTTTTATGTACTCAAAAATAGTTATGTGGTGTAATTTAGTAGCAAATGGCAGTTTTTATGCTTTTTCGTTTGAGAAAATCTAGTTAGAAATTTTGCTTTTGCTAATTGATGGCACGCAAACAAGCAAAGAAATGCCGTTACATATTAATGTAATTGTATGTATATGTTGGTTGAAATATTGATTTGTAAATACTTGTTTTTCTCTTTTCTTTACTGGGATTTTTTGCCTATGGCTACTTATGACTGTATAGTCATATTCCAGACAAACAAAAAAAAAAGGATTGTTTTAAGGTGTAAGATCATTTAAGTAATAATGCATGATATTATCTAATGATCAAAATTGTTCAGTGTTTACTTACTATATATTGATTTACTATTTAGTGTATAGGTGGCACCAGTAAGTGTTAACCTTAAACTTGTTATTGTAGAACAAAATATATTCGCAATGTTTTAAAAACACTATTAGAGGATTTGCAATGTAAATTAAAGAGGTTTGAAGTATGAAGGAAAATAATAGAAATCTTTACGTTTTAAGAAATAAATAAAATGTTTCTGGAATATTTTGAAACATTTCCTTACATTACAGATTTTATTTATGTACAAGGTTTTGGATCATTTTTATTGCGTCGATTTTTTCAAAATTATTTCATTAATTTTGAAAAAATTACTTTAAGGAATTAGTATTTGAAAAAGTACTTAATTGTAGATTAAAAACATATACCCTTATTACTCTTACAGAAATATATAGGTTCTAATCCCTACAATTTCGTAAAAATGAATACTTTATAGCCTGTCTTAGGTTCCAAACTCTTTAAACTCCTAACATAATAGTCATATTTTTTAAATAATTTTTCTTCTCTAATAATATTTAGTCTTCCATTTTGTTCGCTTAAATGTTGTTTCACATAACGTTGTAATACCTAAATGTTACTAACGAAGCAATATATATTTTCATCCAAAAAAAGGATAGTAAGAGATTTTACACTAGAGATCCAGAATAGTTACTGTGCAGAAAGATATTATAGGGAGTCTTTATAGCAAGAATAGATTTCTAGTACGTTTGTATAGTCATTAATTCCAACTAAAAAGATTCTCTGTAAAACATTTTGCAAAATATTAATAGTAAATAAAATGGTTTTTTTGCCGTTTATTACTATACAACATAGGGTCCTTTTAACGTTTCTGAGGCAATTTTAGACGCAGCTGTAAAATAAATTGAATAGGTATCCTTTCAAAAAAGAATAAAAACGAAATGAAAAATAGCGGAATTTAAAAGAATAAATAAAAATGTTTCAGAAATGTTATAAAAGGTTTTTTTTTTACTATGCAGATATTGCATGCGTAATAATTTTATTTTGTTCCAAGTATTTATCCCACATTGGATAATTCTAATTATACTATAAAATCAGTCAAAAAAAATTGTAATCTTAAGTTAACCATTATTATTTTTAAAGAAATATATCAATTTTTATCTCTACAATTCCTCAAAAGGCCTAATTCTTAGTCTGTAACAGAATTCGAATTCTTTAAAACTCCTTCAACATAAAAATGTTTATTTTTTTATTTTTTTTAAGTAAAAGAAACTTTGTTCACTAATGATTATAAATTTTCTATTTTGTTCACAAAGAAAATCTATTTTGTCCCTTTACAAATGACATGCCCTAACACGTTTTTACGAACAAAGTTAGAATCCAAAGAAAGGAGAAGATTGTTACAGATTTTACATTTGGGATCTAAATAATAGGTGACTGCTTGGAAGGACATTACAGGCCGTTTTCAAAACCAGAATGGATTCCAGTACGTTTATAACGTCATCAATTTCAACTTAGAAGTGTCCCTATAGAAATTTTACGAAATATCCACCATTATGGGAGTCTAATAAAGCATAAAAAGGTTCACCATGGCAGGGAGGTAAAATAATCTTGAAACTAAATTAAATCATTATACTGAGAGTGATAAATGTTGTTAAGATATCAACAAGTATATACTTTTTTTTCTTCTTGACTTTTCTCTTAAAACAAATTTTCTATGCATTACGTATATTAGGAGAAGTTTGGTTAAATTACTGCACTATATGGCAATGACATTTCAGGTAAAGAAAAATTTAAAAATTGAATAAAACTGATTAATAAAAGCGAAGTATTTTATTTTATTTAAACCATCGATTTGGAAATTTTTCCATTCATATGTAGAGGTTTACAGGAAATTCTAGTTTTTAAAATTATTGTTCTTATAACCACGCCTTTAATAAAAATTATCATCAGTTAAATTAGCTTAAAAAAATTACTTACCGCTTCTGTATGAATAGGATGTGTAGCAAAAAGTAAAGCAGCAAATAAGGTATCTTCTCGAGACCATTTTAAAACTTTAATACAAAGAAAAGCGACCATCAATGATACACATGAGTGCAGAAAAACATTCACAAAATGAAAACTCCATGCTGATAAACCACAAAAAACATGATTCAACCTGAAACGAAAAAACATTTAGTCTAATCAAAATCATAGTACAAGAATTCTATTAAATAAGCAAGAACATTTACAATTGATAACAACTGAAGTATTGAAAAATATTGTATTTTATTAAACAGAAATTGAGAATTGAAGAAACTGGAATAAAATAAGGATAAGCCACATATTTATAACTTTCATGAGAGCGGTATTGAGGTGAAAGCACCACAGTTTTTGCGTACGCTTCTTGTTGGTACCTATCTGGAAATATTACTCTTGCGCAGTTGGATATAAGAAGGTCACTATCGAAAATATTATGACTCGTGACTCATTACTATTTTGTCCTAAATCCTTCAATATATGAATCTATTTAAAAAGAGACTTTTGAAACTGATTTATAAATTGCATAAATAATTTACAATTAGTTGTAGCTATTTTATCCCTTAAATTAGTTTGTTTTTATTCTTATACTAAGTTAAAATTATTATTTTTTAATTCATTAATTCATTTTTTTTCATTTTTGTCTGTGGCAATAATAAAGATTTGTCCTTAAAAAGAGCAAAAAAGAAAATAAGCTAACTCTAAAATATGGTTATTTAAAGGTTTTGGCATGGTTTTTAAACTCACGAAAATTTTCGTGACGACATGAACGTGAATAATAATTTCTATTTAAAACTATTCAAGAATAGACTAATTTGCATGCTGAACTATAATTTATTTTTGCTTCTGTTCTGTCAGAGGTCAGGCAATGCAATCAATCGGTTGCCAATGCATGTACACAAAACAATCTCAATACTTTCCTATGCTTTGACAAATGAATAAAAAATGAGAAAGCTGTAAAGCTATAGCAAAGTGAAACGATTTCCTTCGGTTTCACTTTTGTAATTAAGTATCGATCCATGCGTATTTAACGTTAGATGAGAAAGTTCTTTAAACCTGGAAAACTGCTAAAATCTTTAAGCTCTAGAAAATAAAAAAAATAAAAACCTTTTTTATGTATATTCTTTATTTGTATCTGTATTAAGAAGAAAAATATTACAAAATAAAAGGAAAATATTGATGAATTTTCTCATATGAATATTCCCCAGTGAAATAATTCCAAATTCTAAAATATTCCAGAGTATTCCAAATTGTGTCGTGATGTTTTTAACTTGTACTGGTTATGGAAATTATTAATTTCAAATATAGATATTCAGATTACTGAACGGAGAAAAAAAATCTTGTAAAATTATCTTACTTTATGGTAATGACATTTGTTGTAATTAAACCAAAATATATGGTATTTAAACCATTTAGTTGGTATTTTTTCCGTTCATATGGCAACGGTTTATAGAAAACGTTGGTTTTCAAAATTATAGTTTTTATTACCATAAATTTGGTAAAAAAATGTAAAATTGAAGAGTAAATTTTTACGAATAAATGGTTTTTATGCCATGCTCAAAAGCATGACGATAAAATTAGCAAATTTGACCACATTTAACAAATTTTATCACATATTATAAAAATATATTTTATTGCTAATTTTTTCCAAAGTCATAACCAAAGTGCTTCGGTTAAAATGCTATGCTTTTTGATGCTCCCATATAGCTAGCTAGAAGAACTACAAATTTTACCATATTCTGCTAGTTTTGACCATACATTTTTTCAGCACATATATTATCAATTTTTAGTTACATCAATCTAAAATAAAACTATCAGCCATATTTTTAGATTTAGTGTGAATGTACAATGCTCAGTATTTAGTTTTCTTCGGTATTTGTCAAAACATTTATCGAATGAACAAATATTTAAAAATCATAAAAATTGTTGTTTTGGCAATTTAATAAATCGGTAGCTCATGCTTTTACATGAAACTCTCTTAATTATTTTTTATGCTTTGACAAGCGACCCAAAATATGTAATATATCTATAGCAAAAGGAAACGATTTCATTCGTTTTCCCTTCTACAATTCACATTCAATGCAAACGTATTTTCTGTAAGATGAGGGAGTACTTTAAACCTTAGAACCAGTAAAATCTTAAAACTCAATAAAGTACAAGTAATAATATGTAATTTTTAATTGTGCCTGCATTTACTAGAAGAGTATTAAAAATATAACTTGAAATTACTGACTATAATAAAAAATACTGTTGAGATTTTCATGCAATAGAAATTATTTATAATTTGTTATGATTAAGAAAAAAATACATTTAATTAAATGTACCACTGACTTCTCGTCAACGTAGTGCTAAACTGTCTTCTGCTGTACGGTTGGATTTAGAGTGACTTACACCGAATCAAGAATTTTTCTTTAATATTCTTCAAGCAATTTTTCACAACAAACGCCGTTTTAAATTGAAATTCAATACGGGTTGAAAATGAAGGAAAATCTTATGCTTCTGTACATATTAAAATCCAAATAAAACCAAACATACTTTATTTAAACTATTCATTTGGTAATTTTTCCGTTCATAGGTTAACGATTGACTGGAAATTTTGATTTTCGAAATTTTAGTTCTACACTTAGTAAACTATTACCATACATTTAGTAAAAATACTAATCTGAAAAGTAAATTTAACCGAGTGAATGGTTTTTATGACATGCTCTAAGGTATCATGACAAAATTACCAAATTTTTCAACATTTTCAACAAAGAGCATAATAATAAAACTATGCTTTTTTTGTTCGTTAAGTTATCCCAAAATTATCGTTTGGGTAAAAATTATCGTTTTTTTTTTTTGGTATTTGAAGAGGTAATTCGCACACTGTAATAAGATAATTTTTTATTGGTAATTCGCACACTGTAATTTTTTCCTTTTTCCAGTAGTCTGGACCATAATTTTTTCAAAGTATATCTTATAGCTCTTCAAAACAAATGTGCTTTTTAAATTAATTTTCTTTTACTATCCTTTAAAGATTTTATTAATTGTGGTTCGCAATTATTTATAGAATGTAAGCTGCTAATAACTGTAAATACAAAGTTTTTTCAACAATTAATGAACAAAAATTGATATCCAATCTAAGATTTGTGCATATATGTTAAAAAAAACGGTGAAGCTTGTTTAAAGTTGAGAAATGAAATAAAAGAAAAAAAAAGAAAAGGAAATGAGTAAAATGTTTATTTCAAGGTTGTTCCTTTAATTATTGTATCCTGTCAATTTATTTGTTAAATCCCGTATTGTAACTAGTTCAGTATTTGAAACATTTTCTTCACTTATTTCTATTCATCGCAAAAAAAGATTGACATACAGTGCACAAAAAATAGACAAATAAACGGATCATCCTGAATAACTTTTAATCTAATGATCAGACCCTCACGTTTTAGGAATCAATATTAATGGTTCGAGGGGATGACCTCAAATATGCTAATCAATTAGTGAAAACAATATTTTAAGTTACGAAATCTGACTTAAAAACGTTATTTCACTGAATAAACATACAATATTTTCAGCGCACTTCTGACCATCAAAATACAGGGAGTAGCCGCAATCTGGGAATTATGGTCTCCATAGTTAGATCAAGAGAGCGATCCAAAATTTGTACTCTCTAATGTTAATTTTACGTTTTCTTATTTCGCCATATTTCGAGAACTTTATAAAATCCGTTTATTCGAAAATAATTCAATGCAAAAATTACACTTTAGTAAATATTTATTATTTTTTATTATTTTATTAATTACTAGTAGATGAATTTTGAATTTTTAAAGTATATATATTTTTTTAGAATTTTTAAGTATGTAATTTTACGTGAAAAAATGCAACAATTGAGAGAAATTGGTTGAATAAATCGAATTTTAAAGAAGTAGTTTATTTAAAATTCAATTTCTCAGGAAGTATTCAATTGATTTTGCTCAAATTTTATATTTTGCTATGTAAAATTATATACAGTAAAATGACGTAAAAAAGTTGCACAAGCGAATTTTATAAATGAGTGCAAAAATTTTTCAATTTCCCTTTAAGAAGTTACGCAAAAAGTAAAACTAACAATAAGTGGTCCAAAGTTTGGATCGCATTCCTGATTAAACTATGGAGACCATATTTCCCAGATTACGGATAACCCTTATATTTTAGAGGTCAAAAACCCAAATCCATCGTAAAAAAAAAGGTATGCTCATTCAGAGAAAGTACGCTTTGTTTGGTCTTTTAACTTAAAATATTGCCTGCACTAATTAATTAGGATACTTGAAAAAAAAACTTGAACCTTAAGAATGAAACCTAGAATGTCAAAATGCAATCATTACATCAAAAGCTATTTAGGGGGGCCCGTTTTTCTTTTTTTTTATGCACCACTGTGCCTTAAAATATCCTATACTATTATCCTATACTTAATTTTTTCCAACTTCTTTTTTACTGCATCAAATAGATATTCTGTTACAAAATGGATGAATTTTTCACCTCTTTATTCTTCTTTTGCAGAACGAAAAATAAACACGAAATTTATTCTTAATTTCTTCCAGCTTCTATAAATTTTGAAAATGACTTCTATTTTTTTTTTTATAAAAATGTATATTAAGTAGTTATGTTTCTCCTCCTTTTGTCTGTCTAACTGTATCAAGAAAAAAAATTGAACTCTTTCTTTCAGTTGAAAAATTTCTTGGCAAAAGCAAGCGTCAAAATTTATACCTAATTTCTTTCAGCTCTTAAGAATTAAACAAATATCGTTTAGTTCATACACATATAAACGTATAAATAACAGTAAATTAAGAAGTCATTTTTCTCAACTTTTTGCATTACGGCACTGAAATCTAAGTAAGTTTCCATCGGAGCAATCAATTGAGAATAGATTAAGTTTTATTTTTTAATAATCCAATAAGGATATAGAATCTCTCTATTTGGCATAAAGCCAAAAGCTCACTTATTTGATAAATGTGCAATCAATTCCCGGGCGATATTAACCCATTATTTAAATTTTTCATCTTTATTTTCATTTCTTTTCTATTATTCATTTAAAGGGAGGATTAATCTGTTTTTCAAATGCATTTTTATGACTTTTCCAGATAACTTATAGGACTTTAAATGCTATCAGATTCATCATAATTT